CCCATCGGCCCCAATCAGGCCAAGATGACCTTTGCGTTCCACCTATTGCCAAGCGGTGCGTCCCCATGTTCCTTTGATGGTGCTCGGAGTTGAGAAGGGAGCGCGTTGCAGGTCTGGTGAACCCGAAGTGTACGGGACTGATCGGGACTGGCGTCGTCGTGCATGTGCCGTCGTTTTTTGCCGAGCTGGATGCTCTGCAGGCAAAAGGTGTGGCATCATGCTTCTCGAGCGGTATGAATGTCATGATTGACTTGTTCGTGGGCGGACATCTAGGACTGGACTGCTCGAATCGCCTGTTCATGTCCGATCGCGCGCATCTAGTCTTTGACTTTCATCAGATTGTCGATGGGCTGAAAGAAGCTGAGCTCGGTGGCTCGAGGTGCGCGATCTCCTTCCTCCACGCTCTCCTTCGCCGGCTCTTCTCCTCAGACTGTACTGACCGAGACCAAACAGCATCGGCACGACGAAGAAGGGCATCGGCCCGGCTTACTCCTCCAAGTCGTCGCGATCCGGCCTGCGTGTGCATCATCTATTCGACCATGAGCTCTTTGCCGAAAGGTTCCGCAGGCTCGTAGAGGGGCGTTTCAAGCGCTATGGGCACTTCGAGTACGATACGGAGGGCGAAATTGCGCGGTACAAAGTACGCGTCCTGCCCGCATGTGCTTTCACACATCGAGCGTCTCAACCTGTCTACTCTCATGCATAGATCCTTGCTGAGCGTCTCCGCCCATACGTTGTCGACGGCGTCGTCTTCATTCACAAGGCGCTCTCCTCAGGCAAGCGTGTCCTCGTCGAGGGCGCCAACGCGGTCATGCTCGACATCGACTACGGCACCTACCCATACGTGACGTCTTCGTCCACCACCATCGGTGGAGTGTGCACGGGTCTTGCGATCCCGCCCAAGCTGATTGGGACCACCATCGGCGTGATGAAGGCGTACACGACGCGTGTCGGCGGCGGGCCGTTCCCGACTGAGCAGCTGAACGTGCGCTGAACAGTGGCTGTCTTCACCTTGCGTGTCCACTGATGCTTTCGCATAGGACATTGGCGTGCACTTACAGGAGGTCGGGAAAGAGTATGGATCGACGACTGGGCGCCGGAGGAGGTGTGGCTGGCTGGACCTCGTGGTGATGAAGCACTCGTACCTCGTCAATGGCTACGACACGCTGAACCTGACCAAGCTCGATGTGCTCGATGACCTTGCAGAGATCAAGATTGCCGTGAAGTATCTCGTTGACGGCAAGGAACTCGAGGGCTTCCCTGGTGCGTTTCCTTCCCATCCTTAGTGCAAGCACTGGCCGTAGACTGACATTTGTCCTCATAGCTGACCTGGAGTTACTCTCGAGAGTCGAAGTTGTCTACGTCACGCTCGGATGTCAACGGACAAACCGTGTATGGAGCGCGCGAATATATTTGTTTTACCGGCAGCTTGGACGACCGCAGAGAATGTTCGAGATGGGGTTGGTTTCGTGCAGAAAGGGCTTTAAAGTATAGTCCATACATAAAGAAACCCGCGCTAGTCATTTTGAAGCACACAAGTCCAGTTCCCGTAAGTCCATCCAGTTTCATTTCGTCTTCTCCCTAACACACTACTAACATGACTTATATATCCTACAGCACACAAGTCTATCCGGTACTCACCTTTTCCCACTCAATAATGAGCATTTTCGCCGATTTCGAACCTCGTTTTCATCGTCTGTCACTCTTCCTTCCATCTAATCATTTGTCTTCCCAATCACTCCCCGCTCATCGTAACCCAGCTCTGTGTCTATCTGAGCGTCATCCTGGCCCCCCAGTGATAGCATCATTTGGTGTATAACCAGCTCGCTGCAATGGAGACGGTCATTCGCCAACCTGGCGCGAGAGACGCGCCATGTTTGTTGACCCCGCACCTGTCAAGCAGGGTAAGCGTCTTCCCCAGTCTGCTCTTGATCGACGCTTTCTGACAAGATCGGATGAGATCAGTAGAATGAAGAACCCGGAAGGAAATATTGGCGTACCTATGGCCAACATGGGCGCATGCATGCCCACGAGCTTCACGGTAAGCAAGGATGGCCCCGCTATGGCTTACGTTCAGTCGGCATCG